GTTAAATCACTGAACAACAGTTATGGGGCTTTACTTTGTACAAAGTAGCATTAGCATCATTGCTTTCCACTACCCATTGAACTTGCACTGGGGACTAAGAAACAAGAGAGAAAGATAGATAGATAGATAGATAGATTAGATAGATAGATAGATAGAGGAAGGGAGACAGAGAGAGGTGCTCCGAAAAGGGAATAACTTCTGTTATATTAGTATTGAGACTTCCAGACATTTAACAATGTAATTGGCTTCAATCTATCTGTATATAATCTATACTTCTTTTTTCTAAAATGTTTTTAAGAGCCCCTATTAAGAATCAATACATCCATACTCTGAAATTCACACATAAGTACACGCTAAAAGCCAATCAAAAAGTAATAATGAAAACATACCTGGTAAACAACTAACTTTTAGTTCAAAGGATTCTAAGTAATAAAGGGACTAGAATGAACATCCCAATTAGCCAATGTAGTGACAAGCAGTCAACACCTTATTATTTAATCATTAAAGAGAATCGTGCCATAATTTCCCTTCGACATATTTCAAAAAAGAAATTAAGAGTGCACCACATGGCCCACAACAATAGTCAAAAGGAAAGGTAGGTAATTCCAAGACCCCTTTGCTTGCAAGGCCTGTGGACAGAGAGGTGCCAGGATTAAGGCATTAAGTGGAGCCCTATGAAGTATTTACAATTTAAATGAGATGTATCCATGTGTAAGCATTTAGAAACAAACTACTTGACAAGGGGACCATTTTCCTGTTTCCTGATGTTTGTGTCCAGTTTTCTTATTGGATGAAAATAAATTGACCACATTTCTCGTATTAGCAACTATCCGTTGGCCTTATCTATCTTTTTTTTTCCCCTAAAACAGCAGATCCAATTCATCAAGGACATTAGGCTGTCCCTTGCCCTTCCATCCCCATCCCTGACCATAAACACCTCTCCAAAAGACAAAGCTCAAATCTCCCTTAGATGCACCCCCATCCCCCTTTGCAGGGAGGGAGTGTTTTCAGTCAAGTACAAGTTCAGTGTTAAGGATTTAGATTTTAAACTATGCTTCAGAAACAACATTCCGGACTTTTAAAATAAAACAATCGCCACCAGGGCCCACTTGAGAAGCAAAGCTCACTGGCCCAGGCTGCCCTGGATATCTGAGGCCCGGGAAGGCTGGCCTCTCCAGCCTGGGCCTTCACTGCCCCGGCAGCCGTCCCTCCCCTGGGAGCTCACCAGCACTTGGCATTTAACCTGCCTGGGGAGCGTGGCTTTCTGGTTCCATCTCTGAGAGCCACATTACTTCTCCCCGGATGTCAGAGACAAATCTGGATTAACATGCAACAGGGCGCCGGGTGCTGCCTGGCAGCCCTAGCCCCAGAGCTGTTAAATGCAGATTCAGCCCAGGATCCCCGGAGAGCTGCTGTTGAATAAAAATTGTAATCCAAAGGGGCCTTTTCGTGGCCTCCTGCTGCTTGAGGGAGAACCCGGGCTGGAGCCCTGAGCACAGGCCCTGCTAGTGCCCGCTCCCTGCGAGCAGGCCGGGCCACCGGGGAGGCGGCCTTAGCGGCCCGGAGACCTTTCGCTCCTCTCTCCCCCTCTCCCTCAACCCGGTCCTGGAGTGAAAAATGCTTCGATTCCAGGAGTGGCGAACAAACAGCCCTGGGACGGCTTCATTCGACGGCTCCTTCTCGAAGTGCGTCCTGGATCTGCCCGCTGGGCGGTCAGGCTCTTCCCCGCCTAACCCCTCCGCGCGCCCCCATTCCACTCTGGACCCCCAAACACCCACCCTCGTCCCTTCGGATCTGTATCCTTCTCCACCACCAACCTGGCTCAGCCCTGGCCTCGACGCCTCGCACCCGGGTCCCCCTCTACACCCACTCCCCGAGTCGAAACCCTGCTCTCATCCCTCGCGGAGTCCCCGAAACCCCCAGGACCCAGTCCTCCCGAGCCCCGAGCCCCGAGCCCCGAGCCCCGAGCCCCGAGCCCCGAGCGTCCCTGCGGAGGCCGCGGACCTGGCCGTCGGGAGAGGGCGCCCGGGAGGGCTGCGCCCGCAGGGACCTCAGGGCCTGGGAGTGGGAATGAGGAGAAGACGGGAACTGGGGACGGAATCACTGCTTCTACCGTCGTCTTAATGTGATTTTTTTTTTAATAAAAATAAAAAAGCCAACAACTCTACAAGGCCAAGTGGATTTCCACAGACTCAGCCTTCGGGGAAACCGGCTGGTGTCAGAGCCTTCGATCCCAGGTCCCTGCGCGGATGGCAGTCTTCATGCCCTCCGAGGAAAAAAGTAAAATAAAATAAACCTCGCCGCCAGCAGGCCCTAGAGACAGAGGGGTTAATGAGCCAGCGAGGCCCCGCGTTCGCGCTACACCTGAAGCATCTAGTCCCGCAGCGCACCCTCTGCCGGGGCTCCAACTGCCCAGGCCGCCCTCGCAGACAGGTGGCGGGGCTGTCTTTCCTGGGTCTCGCCCCCCGGGTGCCCCACTAGGGGTCCAGCGCCCCCAGGGGCCGGCCAGCAAGCTCCAGATGGAAAAACTGGCGCCCACCTGGCGGCCCCCGTACCCTGTCTCTGCTCCCAACCTCCCAGAACTGGGGACAAATTCCGCTTCGGAGGCACAGCTCTCGTGCGCCCCGCATTCTGCGCTCCCGGCTCCAAAGGGAGCCCAGGCACCTCGCTCCTGGCTCCCGAGAGGCGGTCCATTAGACAGACCGAACTTGGGTTTGCTGCCCTCCGACCATCTGAGACCTAGGGGAGCTGGGGGGTCTGGAGAGCGAGCCCCAGGCGCACAGGCCAACAGCGCCACCAGCTCCGCCAAAGCTGCGAAGCCCCCTCCTGAGCGGCGGGGATGTAGAGCACGCTTCTCATGGCAGAGGTGGGGGAGGAGATTAAATTGCGTATTTTCACCCAATAGAAGTGCCTACCGACCTGCAGATCTCAAATTAAAGTAATTGTGTACCGAAGTTTGCCGAGGGAGTAGGGGGGAGAACTCACTGATGGCACATCCATTTTGTATGCCCCCCAAATACCCCATAACTTTGGTCCTTTATCTTTGACTTTAATAAAATAATGATTCGTTGAGAAAACGGGGCATAAATCTTCATTTTGGAGGCAATTAAAGTGTTGATTTCATTCATGCCCCTAAGCGATTCTTGTAATTTGCTCAAATAGCTTTATGTACCCAGCACTAGAAGCTTTTAGAATCCCATTTTCTAGTTAGGCTTGTTGGATTACAATTTTTATTCAACAGCAGCTACCCAAGGATTCCTCGGCGGAATCTGCCTGTAACAGCTCGGGGGTGGAGGGCTGGTGGGCAGAGGCGGCCGGGCGGCCGGGCAGCCCCCCGCGGGGTCAAAGCCAGGCCCGCCCCGCAGCCGCCTGCAGGTTCCCCACCTCGGCCCGGCCGCGCCAGGATTGCGCAGGCGGCTTGCTCTGTGTACTCGTCTACACAGTCGAAAGTTTGCAACTTGCCAAATAACAGTAAGGACCCGGCGCGTCGGCGCTTTTAAAGCTCAGCTCGGCCTGCCCTCCCCTCCTCTCGGGGAAAAGGGGGATTCAGCCTCTGTCCGGAGTTCCCCGGAGAAATCAAAGCCGGGAGTTTCTTCGAAGGGGTAGACATTTGAGAGAAGAAAACTTTGAGATGACAGACACCAAGACCGAGGAGCAGAGCACTCGGACAAGGACTCCGCAAGGGAGCCACTGGGCCACGGGGATCCTGGCAGAGCCCGCCAGGAAAGCTGCCCGCCTGGCGGTCCTTGAGCTGAACAAAGACAGGCTGATCTCTCCCCCAAGACGGGACTCACGTGCCAAGTCAGAAAGAGAAACAACCCTGGGCCTTCGCTTGCAGATATGGAGAGGCGGAGGAGGCCCACAACCCAAATCTCCAGACGCGTCGCAACCATTCGCAACGGAGAGCTGTCATGAGCCCTGTTTTAGCCCACCCACTCCTCACGTTTTCACTTTCACGCTCTTTTTGCAACTCCTTTGGACCAATCCAGAGACACAGCGACTGGACAGAGAGAGACACTGGGAGCAAACAGTGGTGTTGGAGGGAGAGAGGGAGAGAAATCCACCCCCCCCACACACACACACATACACATACCCCCAGCAAGTCCAAATAAAAGTGGCCCCACTTAGCAACGCAGCGGAAGAAGGGCCTGAAGGAGAACGCCAGAGAAGGGGGCTAAACAAGCAAAAGCGGACAGCTGAGAGTCAAGGTGGCGGCGCGAGGTCCCCCACCCGACACACCGAGGGAGTCGTCAAGGTGCCCTGATGCTGACACTTCCAAAAGCTGCCAACCCAGAGGGCCCAGAGCACGTACCAGCTGGAGGACGAGTGGAAAGGTGGAGGAGAAAAGTCCATATTTATCTGTTTGTATACCCTCGGCCTGGTCTTATTTTGTCTATGAAGTACAATAAAATGGGCGAGCTTGCAGCTAGCACTGCACAAAGCAATGTTCAGTGAGGTCTAGAAGCGTTCGGCCGAGGAAAACTGACAAGACAGGCTAATGAACCGTATAGACAGGGAGAAAACAGCCAGCATTTGCTAGATTTCAAACCCTGGCTGTCTTTCTTAGACCACCTATCTTGGGTTTATTCCTAATAAAATAAGAAATAAGCAGACCCTACTCTTTTCTTTTCTTCAAGATAGAAGGGGGGTTGGGGGAATGCTCCAGAACAAAGCCCTACAATCAGAGGCGGTCACTGGCAGTTAACACTCCCATTATTATAGAGGGTAAATAAAATAAAGACAAAAATTAAAAGCGACAAGAAACAGGTCAAGTTTGCAGGCAAAGCCTTTGCAAGCTCATCTCTCCAAGTTGAATCCCAGAGCCAGCCTTAATGAAGCAATAATAGCCACATTATTCAAAAATTTTCATTTCGATGGAAATGTATCTAAAAGGGACTTAATCATATGCAAATAATAAAAGGAGGTGGTAGTGACCCAGCAAGCAATATGCATACAGATTTTTTTTTTTTTCAGGGATGTTGAAATTGAAAAGCACATACCTGGTCAGTTAGATTTGCTGATCTTGTTATATCTTCACTGTCTGATTTTGATCCTCCTTCTCTATCGTCTATCACCAAATCGATAGGCATTTTCCCTTTCAAACAGCTAATATACCGGTGGCAGAAATTGTCACATAATTCGTGTACCTACATTATGACAGAAATAAAAAATGGAAATATAATCAAGAGGGTATAAGTGACATTGACAAGTGCAGTCCACCCCCCCCCCCCTTGTGAGATCCAAACTTCCAAACAGGGAAACACAGGGCAATTGTCCTCCAGAGACCCCCAGACGCATCCAGAATTAGGAATAACTTTCTTTTCTTGCAAAATAGAGATATCCCAGAAAATTGACAGTGACAAGATGATTCACAGGCTACAACATATTCAACACCCGTGTTAAATTCATCTGCTTCCAGGACTGTGGCCATTAGAGAGGTGACCTGCGTGGGTGACATTGAAGGTAAACTATTTAATTTTATCTAGTTACTTTATCACAGGTCCTTTTTCCAATTTGTCTAAGGAAAAATGCATCTATATGTAATTTTGGATATATATATTATATATATTCAAAGGACCAGTACTGTGGTGGCATAGGATCTATGCCTGACAACCCCAGTCCCTATAATATTTGGAATTAGGGTTTCTATCCATAAGAAGCATATTTTAGGATACTTCCTTTGAAAAATAAAAGGAAATCAACTTTCCAGTAATCAATACATGGAAAAAAAACCTACAGTCACAAAAATGTATCAAATTGATTTTTTAAATACAAAATGGAAAAAGATTGCTTCAAAGTATTTAGGTGCAAGTGGAGTGGTCTCTTACAGGCCCCAGTCATCACTGACATGCAAAAATTCACAAGAAACCCCAGTGTGCTTGCGATTTGATGTTAGTTTGAATTACAATGCATTAAGTTTTTATTGCTGAGATTTATAGAACAGCTAGCAAAATTGTATTAGCCCACACCCTTTCTTGAGTGTGAAGGTGGGATGTGTGCAGGATTTGCAGATTCAAGAAATTGACGCAACTATCAACTCTACTTTGTCTCTGCAAAACATTTAATGTGTTTCTCCCACCACTTCCTCCAGACTCTCTGTCCGCTCCCCCCAACCCCCACTCGGCCTCTCCTCTGTGTCTGACCTGCGGCTGCTCTCAGACTGTCTTCCAGAAACTCACTAAAACTAAACAAAACTTCCCCCCTCCCCAGAGGTAGCAAAGAAAAAGAAGAAGAGGAAGAGAAGAGGCCACAAAGGTATAACCTGTGAAGCAACTCACAAAAGCATTCTTAACATCAAGGGGGTTGCATAGAATTGCAACTATTTATACAAAGCCAGCAAGGTATTAAGAATGAATACAAGGCTAGGGCGTTTGTGATCCCGGTTTTAGTGGCTGAAATTGTAATTAAACTGCAAAGAGAAATGGATGCAAAGATTGGCCTTGACACTAATTACCAGAAAGAAAGACATTTATGCAAATGTTTCAGAAGCCTGAACTTCAGCCATTCTGAACCCTCCCCCATCCTGTGTCTTTGGGGGTGAAGGGGCAAAAGAAAAAGAGGCTAGAGAAATTACCTTCTCTAATTCCAACAGATGAAACCTTAATACTTGTATGGCTTGAATCATCTGCAAAGACACAAAAAGAATGAGTACCCTATTCCTAGTTTGCAGAAAATTGGCTGTCACAGCTCTAGCATCTCCAGCCCACCCCCTCCCCCCAGTAAATAGAGTTATTTTGATTTATGGCAATAACACTAAAACTTAATAGCGGCGACTGGGTACGATCTAGAGGTTTATATTTCTTAAGGAGAAAGAAATAGCTAAAACAACAACAAAGCATCTAAGTGGGGATCATAAACACTCTCCTCCCCCATGGCTCTCTCCCCTTTCTCGGCCCCACTGCCTCCTCCCCAGCCCCAAAGGGCCACATCCTTGGACTAGATGTTTCCTTGGAAGGTGTGCATGGAAAATAGTCAAAATAGTGCCCCCCCCCCCAAATTGTGGCTTTTAGGACTGCAAACTTTCTGCTGCCTTCGGCACACCTTTCAGGCAAACTGGTGGTTAGGGGGCTCTTGCCTGGTTGTGCCCCTCCTGAGGCGACTTTGAGGGCTGGGAAGTCTGCAAAGTTTAAGCACACACGCTGACAGGCCCGGAGATAAATCCCCGCGCTGATTAGAGCTGCGCAGCCCGGCTGTCATAAAAAACAAAAGCTCGCGTTTCTCTGCGCCGCTTGCCCGGCCCCTCTCCAGAAAAATTTATTTCCCGGGGATCATGTCCCGGACCGCTTGTCCGTGGACGGAAACATTTGCAGCAGACCTGCAGCGGCGGCGGGATGACGGGTCTAGAAACCTCAGGGCCCTCAAAGCAAAGCTGGGGGGCTGAGGGGAGGGGAGCTGAGGGAGGGGAGTAGGGGTCCGCTCTTACCAAGTTATCCAGTTCTGGATTAGAAGAAAATAGAGGTTTTTCTGCACGAATCTAAATACAAGTGAGAAGGGAAAGGGATGGGGGGGGGGGAGAAAAAAATTGAAATCTGTTCTCCTTCCTACTTTCTTGACTCATTACACTGTCGGGGCCAGGACTAGCCTGGGTGACACCGAGTTCCTCCCGCGCAAACACACTTCAGTGAGGCTCAAGCCGAAAACAAGCCCCCAGCTCTGGGTGACTTCTACCAGCAGCGACGCCTCTAAAGGAGGCTGCTCAGCTCACCAAGCCCCAGGCAGCTGCAGCGCATGGTGTTGGCGATTTTATTTTTATAAAGAGAGTTTTCTACATGAGGTTATGGAGCTTGAGTTGGGATGGATATGGGCGATTTTGAGTCCCCCCCGCGGACACTTACACAGGAGGGAAATCTCAGGGTAGCTGTAACAGGCATGGCCCAGGGTGGACTAGTTGTTAATGACTCTTGCAAATGTGCTGGGGGGTGGGGGGGAGGGAGGTCCCCTTTCCCCCCCTTTACTTTTTAAACAGTTATTTTGCTGACCTGTTTGGCGAACACGGCTATATCTTCATTGAATGACTCTGACGAGCAGACGTCCCCGCCCGCCACCCCTGGCTCTCGGGGGGTACAAGTAGCTAATTCACATTTCTCAAAAATCAGTGCTAAGAGAGGGAAGAGGGGGTGTCTGCAAGAAAATACAACAGTCACAAACAACACAATGGTTAGTCCCGAGTGAGGGGGAAAGGGCGCCCTAGAAAAGCAGCCGGAGGAGCTGGAGGCAGGGACCCCTTCCCGGGTTTTGTCATCTACTTTTTTCCTCCCCCCTCCCCCCCACCCAGGTGACTGCTCACCTCCCCTTCCTCTTAGGGCCCCGAAGTTGGAGGCCCTACTCCACGGACCATATCTGAGGATCGGTTCAGCTTATCTGGCCGGAGAAATTGGTAACATTTGCTAAGAATAAAACCCAAGCGGTTCCAGCAGCCATTTTGAATGAAGTTTCCCACCCGACAAGCCCTCGGCCCTCGGCTGCACATCCAGGACCTGGAGCCGGAGAAAGGCGCTGGGCACAGGGGCTGGGAGAGCTCCTTCCGGGGGGCTCCTCCGAGGCGGCCTCGCGAAACCCAGGCTTGGGATCTCGGTGGCAGGCGCTCAGCTAACTTGGGGAAAGGACCTCCAAGGCTGCGGGACCGGCTGTCAGGGGGCTGCCCCTGCCGATCCCCACCCCAGGGCCCTCGGAGAGCAAGGAGGCGCCTTCTGGGCTCCGTGCACATTGCCCCTGCCTTCGCCGATCGCCCCCACCATCCCCAAAAGAAAGTTCCTGCCCGTGGTCCTGCCGGAAAGCCAGAAAGCCTTTCATTTTGTCTCAGCGGAATGGCAAGGCAGCTAGTACGGCGAGGGGCCTAGATGTCGCTTATCTCAGCCCATAAAAGAAAGAAAAAAGCTTCTTCTAATGCCCAAGGAGGTGTCTCCAGGCTTTTATTAGCTCTCACAGCCCAGCTGGAAATTTAACAGTTCGGGGTCCTTTTCAAAGCTTCCCCAAACGTTCTGTCCCAGAGCCTAAAGTAAACCATTTGCAGTCAAGGCTGCGGAGAGAAGGCTGGGATTTAAACAAGCCCATCGCACGAGGGACCAGAAAAATAAAGCAGAAAGGGTGTGCGGCTGGGGAGGGTCAGTGTTGCATGATTCTTTTTTTTTTTTTAAATAGAAGAAACAAAATTTGCTGCAAAGTCAAAAGAGGTCCCCAGATTCACCAGCACACAGTAGGCACAAGGCCCTTTCAAAGGATTTTCCCAGCCCAGGGTCGAGGGAATGGCCGGGAGAAAACGGTGGGAACCGAAGTCAGAAAACAACACGGCCCATAGCACCCCGCATCTACTTCTAAAGCCTGCAGGTTTCATCTTGGCTCCACAAAGTATTAAAACGACTAGAAGTTTCTCCATGTCTGTAACAATTCAGACCCAGCTCCTCTCCTTGACTACCTTGACTACCGTGACTACCGTGGTCAAACTTTCCAAATGCAAAGCCTGTTCCCCTTGCCTGACTTGCAACTGTCCTCCCTGCATTTTATTGTGCGGTGGCAGAGCCAGCATAGGGTTGCTGAGTAAACTTAGCAAGTCCGAACAATCAGTGGCTTAAAAGATTTTCCCTGAAACTAAAAGTTTCCTTCCAACACAAAGGCGCCTGCAGCGAGAAACCCCCAACTCCTTCCCGGAACACTGCTTCCAGCCGGGACACCAACCCTCCGAGAGAGGAAGAGGGACCTTTGGGCAGTTTCTCCTGCATGGCGACCCCTTCCCAGCACAGCCTCGGCAGAGCCAGAGGCTGGGCAGAGGCTGAGCGCGCATGGAGAGGGGGGCGTCAGGGATGGCAGGCAGCCCCCCCACCCCCAGATTCTCCATGCAATGCGAATGAAAAGTCACCAAGTACTGCATCTCCAGTCCAGAGTACTCTGGCTTTCCCCTTACCAAAGGCAAAGGGAAACAGGATTAGCACCCCGTCTCGGCTATTTAACCTGCTGCCCATGGTACCTACCCATAAATGGCATCTTTATCTCTCTTTAAAGCGTCATTGACGGAGGAACCCATGCTGGGGGCCATGGCGTTGGTGTGAGCTGTGTGCGGGTACTGATGAGAGTGCAGAGGAGGCCCATGGTTCAGGTGGTGGACCGGCTGCATGGATCTGGCCGCATGCGGGTCCCCATACATCGTGGAGGGGATGCCTACTCCATCCATGCCCCCGTAATGGGGTAGATCGTCGTACTGCATGACAAACAGGAGAGAAACAAGGTTCAGAAGGCCAGGCAGGCAAAGGGGGGACCGGCAGGGCAGGGAGCTTATATAATGTCAGTCCAGCTGGATCCTTCAACCTCCAACTCAGTGGCCTTGCATCTCTAAAGCTGAGATTTTTTTAATCTAAAAATATTTTTTAAAGTAAAAATTCTAGGATTCTCAGTGAAACCCGGCTAGGATGAATGGTCTTGCCCTAACTTGTGTCCCTATCAACTAATTCAGAAATTCAGAATCCTTTAGCAAGAAAGGAAGGAAAGAAAGGGAGGCATTCTCCCGGAGGGTGGAAGGTAAAACATGCATGTCTCCATAGGAGGAAACTCAAAATCACAATAATAAAACGTGCCAGGACAGTGCAGCAAACCCGCCTACTTTCACAGCCCCTTCTCATCAGGGGGAATTTAAAAAAAAAAAAAAAAGTTAGGATGGGAACAGCTACACCAAGCACGTGAATTCAGACAGGCTTCTTATTTTATTTCCCTGCCAGCAAGAGGGTAGGCAGTCCTGCAAGACACTGCATTTCCTCTGCTTTCCAAGACAAACTCTGCTAAATTATACAAAACTAACTGGCCCCTTTAGAAGTGAAACTCGGGGAAGGGTAGTTTTTCTTGTACCTTACAGCTGAGCTTAGAATTGGGCAATTTCCACCCCGATAGTAAAGAAAATCTGTTGTTGGAGCAGTTAGTTATTCTATTCTCTCTAGTCTTAAGAACTTTCTCCCAGACTAGAAGTTAATAGGGCAAATGGTACTCATCAGGTTTAAAGCAAATTCAGTAGCAAATGCACATGCAACCTACCATCTTCCTCCTCTAGAAACTCTACTTTCAGATTGATTGTCGTTATTTTTTTGTGCAAAATTTAGCTATTTAGGTTTTTCTCATTGGTTCATTCCAGGCAAGTGTTTTCCCCCTCAAGATTTGAAGGCGTCGAGAGTGAAATGATTTTCAAAGAAAAGAGGAATTGCCACTTTCATCTCCTTAGAGCCAGAGGTGTGAAAAGAGTTTGGAAGAACGCTGACATTTGCCTGAACCAAAGGAGAAAAAAAAAAAATGTGTCAGCCTAGTAACTTTCTTTTGCAAACAGGGCTTTGAGGGCCAGGACACACCTTATGCAAGGAAGGCTTTTTGTAGACCCTCTTTCTTTTAAGAAACTACCTCAGTTGGGTTGTCATGGTCTCACTTTACTCTCACTACATTTCCATTCAAATAGGAATATCGGCGGAATTGGTATTGCATTTTAAAAGTGAGTAGCTGTGTGCTTAGTATCCAATTAGTGCAGGGCTGTCTAAGATAAACTTTCTAAGTATTACCTTGCATAAAAATCCATGCACATTAAAATTACTTTTTAAAAGGATGAGTGTTCCTTGACCCCCAAATAAGTTGTACTATGACAAAGTTATTGGCTTTAAATAGCTAAATACTTCTAATGGTATTAAAGATGAACATAATCAATAGCATATCAGAAGTTTCTAGCTGTCTATTTTAGTTTAAAAATAGCTCTAAACTTTTGCTCTCTGAATGCTCACATAGCATTAGCTATCTAGCATTTATTTTTGTTTTTAATTTTTTAACCAGATGATTGCCCCAGCTTATATATATATATATACTGGTTAGGAATCTACAGAAAACTTGATTATTCGAATTAACATGTAACATACATAAGTTCACAAACGCATTGAATAAATACTCTCACTTTAGGCCATGGCTTTAGGAGCCTCATTCAGAAAGACAGAGAGGAAAAAAAGGAAACTTTTTAGCAGTGTCTTTCAGCCACGTTTCAATTTAATCTCACATTTGAGTTCTACAATTGTTGTTTTTTTAATACGTACCCTTTGCGCCATCGGCCTCCCTGGCTCCCTTCCTACTTCAACTTCTAATATATCCTCTTTAAGGCCAGTGTGAAAGGAAACAAATACGCAAACTCCCCCGGAAAAAAAAAATTTAAGCAGGACGAAAAAATCCCTTAATGTCTCCAGCAACGTGAGCTATTAGTCCCAGATCTTCGGTCTATGGGACCTGAAGCAAAGCGCCCGAGTCACTGAGCATAAAAGCGCTCCGTTTCCAAGACAGCAGCGGGGGCAAAGAAAAAAAAAAAAAAAAAAAAAAAAAGGAGAAAAAAAAAAAAAAAGCAGATCTTCTCTCCCCAAAAAAATCAGTTTAAAAAAAAAAGAAAAAGAAAAAAAAAAAAGAAAAGAAAAAGCAGCGCCCCTCAGACCCAACTACCAAATCTCATGGCTTTCTGCCACTCCGGCTGTCAATCACAGGCGAGGTTGTCAACGTGGTGAATGAATGATCATCCGCTCTGTCTTCTTCTGGTCAGAACACCTCAAATGTTAATATTCAAATGCACAAAGCCCTAGCGCTCGCTCCCCTTGAATCAGTCCTAATTCCTAATCAGTTTCTCTCTTCTCTCGCTCGCTCGCTCTTTCTCTTTCTCTCTCTCTCTCTCTCTCCCTCTTTGCAACTGCTGCACTGGAGGGAGATTAGAGGAGGAGGGTTAAAAAAAAAATGTCTGTCTGAGTTTGTCTTAAAGGAGCCACAATCGATGCTGCCCGCTTGCAGTCCCCGTGCGTGTGTAAAGTGTGTGTTGCACAGGCGGAGAGGTGGATTCCGACCAGAATGCTAGAACCCGGAAGTAGTGGTGGCCATAACAGGTCGCGTCTTACACAATGCATTGGGCTGCAGCAAGTAGGCTCCCCGGCAGGGGTGGGTGCGCGAAGCGAGCTCTGGCCGCACTGGAGAGGCGGAGAGGCGCTCCATTAAATCGCACGCCCAGGCACAAACACCCACACACCCAGGGCACACGCGCGCAGACGCGGCCAGCAGATCCCGGCCACCGGTCTTATTTTCCGTATTCTTTTCTCTTCCTCCCCCTCCAGACTCTCTCCCCAAAGCCTATGCTTGAAATAAACGGGGAATGAATGCGGGGCAGGCAGTGGCGGGAGTTATTTTGCACGGGGCTCCGCGCATTGACTTCATGACTTTCCTCGAAATGATTGGGGTCTGCCAGTGTTTTTTCAGGGCGGAAGGGGGTGACGAGGAAAAGTACCGGGTTCTCAGAACTAAAGACTCCCGAGTCGAAAAGTCAAGAGGGGAGCGGGAAGGAGGAGCGGGAGCAAGGCTGGGAAAGGCTCTGCTAAGGAGTCCCGTGAACGTGGGGTGGGGATGGCTGGGGCTGTCTGCAGATCCAGCTTAAGAGGTTTTTGCTGTCAGAGGTAGACTCTCGGTCCAAGGAGAGGAAATGCTTGCATTTTCTCACTTTGGGGGTCTGGACGCCCCCACCTCCTAGCCCTGGAGACCCCCCCAACCCCGGAGTCCTGCACGAAGTGCGAGAGGAAGGGAGGGAACAATGAGCTCAGAGCCGGGAATGTGCCCCCAGCGCCTGTTTACAAACACCAAGCTATTTACGATCGCCGGAAAGCGAAACCCGACGCGGGCTCGGAGCAGCCCCGACCTCGCGGGCGGAGCCGGGCCCCGGCGCCGCGGGGAGGGCGGCTCTTTCTCCGATCCCCTCCGGGCGGAGCAGCGGTGCGCCCAGGGCGCGGCGCAGCAGGGCCGGCGCGTTCGGCTGGGACCACGGCCGCTCCGCCTTTGTCTTCGAGGCGCCGAAGGGCTCTGGCTGATGCCGTGCTCGGGCCTGAAGGGACCCGGCGCCCTCAGCTTTTCCCCGGCGACGCCTCGCGCTCTCCTCAGCCCCTTCTCCTCCCCATCTCGCCCCCCACTCCGCTTTCCTGTCTCCAACCCGGCTCGGGGAAAACTCCCAGCGCCGAAGACATCCACATCAAAAGCTGAGGTTTCAGACAAAAAGCTGCGCCTGCCCGCAACTCGGAGGCTCCAACCAGCCACTGATTTTTTACTTTCTCCCTTTAAATACCTATTCTCCGGCTTTAAAAATTCCTTTTCTTTATTCTCCCTTTCTAAGCTTGCCCTTTATTACATTTGGTGATGTTATTTTCGTTTTTATTTTTTCAGCCGGCCCGACTCTGATCTGCCGAAATGGCTCAAGCCTCAGCAGCTCAACCCGCGGGCTAGAAACCTCACATTTCCAAGCTGGGCTCGCAGCTCGCTCGGCTCGGGGCAAGATCTTCTCCCCCTCCCTCCAGCTGAAACCTCGCAGAAAACTCCCCCTGCGGTCGACTGGAAAATGAACTCACCCAAATCTCGGTAGGCAGCGGTGGAGGAGGGCTCGGCCAATCAGGAGGCGCTCCCGCCAAGACGGCCCCGCATTGGCTGTGGGGAAAATCAATTATCAAATAATCGATCAGCAGGGAGCTTCGATCTGCCCGGAATGCAAACTGCCAGTCGGGATTCCCGCCCTGATGGTGGCTAAAAGGCTGACTTTCCCAAAGCAGCCAGCCCCTCGCCCCCATCCCAAACCACCCCGCCAGCTGGACAAGGAAACCTCACCCCAAACTGGGGGGTGGGGGTGGGGGGCATTGTTAGGGGCAAGAGTTGAGACAGATGAGGGGGCTCCTGTCCCAGAGATTGTTTGGAAAAGGTTGGAAGCTCTAAAATGTATTGAGGCCAACTCTTAACAAGCGCAAACTAAAAGAGAATTTGCTTCAGCCCGAGAGGTAGGGCTCGAGTTTCTATTAAGTGGGCTCTGGAGGAGCAGGGGGCACGGGGCGAGCATCAGACCGGAGATCTGGAGTCAGGTCCCACCGAGCGCACGTAGCCTCCCTAAGCGACATCTATTGCTTCTTTGAGTTCTGTGCGCGAGTCGGCGCCCGGTTCCCCCCAGCAGTGGATCGTGGAGTTCCCATAAAGCCCAGCCGCTGAGTCTCCCCAGCTTCCCGCACACCACTCGCTCCTCCATACGGCGCTGTCCCAGAGCCTGGGATGCGCTTTGCCTTCAAAGATATCCGAGTGTTTAAACCCCCGCCCCTAGAGTCCCTTCTCTCTCTCTCTCTCTCTCTCTCTCTCTCTCTCTCTCTCTCTCTCTCTCTCTCTCTCTCTCTCTCTCGTTTTAGGGTCTTGTACTTTTCTCCACCGCCAACATATACACAGTTTCCTGGCACAAACGCCCCGCCACAGGCACATCACGCGGGAGGTGAAGGCAGGCCCGCGTGTCAAAGCCAAGGGGATCCAGGTGACGTACCAGCGCCTATATGCCCCTGCCTGACATCGTCCCCAACCCCCTGCGAACTTGCAAACAGACTTTCAGGCCAAGATGGAACCTCTGGGTCTCAGGAAGGCGATTTCTCTGTTTATTTCTCGGGAAGCTGCGCTGGCTGGGCAGGCAACACAATCCTTTTACGATTACCGAGAGACCCAAACTGGGCCGGCAGCCTGCAAGCCCTGTCCCGAACCCCAGCCCAGCGACTCTGGCCGATACCCGAGCGCCTTAGGAAGGCGGCTCTCGGGGGTAGGAGCAGGCCCGCCAGGCATCCGCGCCGCTGGCCATAGGGGGAAGCCAGGGGAGGGGGTGTCAAGCCAAACCTTGACTTGGGCGAATCGACGTTTATGATCTTTAAATGAAGTGTGAGGAAAATTGTGTAAGTATAATTTCACTCAGAGAAATTTCCTGCGAAATACATTTCGATGACTGTAGACTTTTAACAGCCCTAGGGGTTCTCTGGCAAGCCTTAGGTAACCAGCTTGGAGTTACCTCAACTCTGCAGCCACATTCTCAAATTTGGAAAAGGCTAGTTTGGGGGTGTGTGTGTGTGTGGGGGGAGATATATATATACATATATATATATATATATATATATATATATATATATATATATATTTAATTTTGCATTGTTGCTTTCTGGTAAATGTTTTCTTTTGTTTTCTAGCAGAGATGAAAAAAAGAAAGTTCAGGTAAGTCACTCCTTTTCAAACAACCAAACATTTCAAAGCTTTTAGGAAGACTATTTTGCCATGATGTGTCAGATTACCTTATAAATGTACTTTAAAATACCTACACACAGATTTTTTTCTTAAAGAAATAGATAGTTTGTGTGTGGGCTTAACGTAAACTTACTAGTTTTGAAAAGTGTCTTCTTCCTTCCTTCCCTCACTCCCGCCCACCTTTCCATTTATAACTGTAAACTTACTGCTACTCCTAGGCCTTTATAAGATTAATTCTGAACAATCAAGGGACTAAAACACTTTTACAGTGTAATTACAGTAGTACAAATTGTTTGCCCAAACCTCATTCTGGATAAGGATTTTACAATTAGCAAACAGTTATTACAGTTAGGGCTTGCTGAGAGAAATTGCTCAGCGGACATCTAGAGTTGCAATCTAGTAGCCATAAAAAGAAAAGAAAAAAAAAAACCTGCTGTAGTAGAGCAGCAATTAATCACCTATTAAAAGGAAAAGGTAAAGGGGTGGTTGTAGTAAACTACCATCCACCTTTATACCTGTGATGAGACAGCATGCATCCTTAGCTTATTTCAAACACTTGCTTTAAGGCAATAGCACTTTTACCTTGGGAAAACTTGGCCTAGTGAAGGGTTCTGACACTTGCCCCTGGTACTTGCACTTGGGCCTTCCGTAGTCAGCTCTCCCTTCCTAACCCAGAGGATCTTCCCAAATAGAGAGAAGAAGGACTTTAAAGAGGCAGGCCGGGACCTAAGTCTCTATTGTTTACACCCTCTTGCAAGGAGGCATTTAAAGTAGGTGTTGCCCCTTTAGGCTGTTGGTACAGTCCTAAGTGAGAACTCCCTTCTCATTTTCTGTTCTTCAATAAGGAATTGTGCCTTTGGAAAGATCTGTATCCTGATTTAGGCTTTTGTCCCAAAAGTTCACACTCATGAATCAGCTCCAAACCCCACAGAAATTAAAGAGGCACCTCTTAGGGGAAAATGTGTGTGTATTTGCCAGCCCAGAATAAACAAGAGCCTGTTAATCAATAGAGTTTGGCAGCTGTGTTCACAGAATGATAAGGGTTTATCATCTGGCACCTAACTTTTAGATGCCTGTGAAACTGTTAGGATTGGTCTTGGTCTTTTGGTTGTCCTGGGGTGCAGTGGCTTGAGGCCCCATACTTCAAGAACTTTCATCCTCCTCATCTCACCCCTGCATTAGCATTTACATTTCAAAAAACAGAACTCAGAGGCGGGAAGGACAGTTTAAAGAAAATAGATTTAAAATCTAGTAGAGATAATAGAGGAATGCTGAAGATAAGAGGCTGGATGTGATAGGAGAAAGGTACCAAGAAGTCAAAGCTAATGAATGGCTGCGAGGAAACTGAAATAAACTATTTAGAGGTCTATAAAATGGAGAAACTTGGTTCGGTGATATGAAAGGGGGTTAACTGAGGGGATTAGGAAAGACGTTAATCAAGTGCCCTAAAGCTGTAAGAACTGGGAGATTTGTTTACTGCATTTTGCTTCAGAAAACAAAGAATGTCTGGGACCAGTTCAGAAGTCAATGAGAGGTCAGCTTAGGCTCTCCAACTGTCCAAAGGAAAATACCTAAGTCACTATATTCTGGCTGGATAATGCAAAAGTTAAGAAATGAAGGGTGGTTGATGATGGTGAGGGCGGGGGGGGGGGGGTTGTTTTCCTTACTATCTTTCTATTTCAAATCATTAAAATGCTTTGGTCTCTAGAGGGGGAAAAATTACACTGGTTAACATAATTACTAGCTCTGACATTTTCAGAAGTTATAGAGGTCTTTTATTAATTAAATGGAGGGCTTAATAAAATATTCCTAATAAAATTTATGGTTGTCTTAAAACTTTCTAAACAGTGCTATAAATTCTTTATAAAATTAACTGGGAAATGAGTTATTAGCCCACACTTTAACCCCCCCCCCCACTTTTACAGAAAGAGCGTCTGCAGAATGAAAAGGGAAATAGAAGCCTTTTAGTAAAATATAAATGTTAGCCAAAGTCACACATTGTTTTAGAAGAGGCAAAGTTTTGACTATTTCTAATGGCTTCATCTTCCAGTATATCCTCCAAAAGCTATTCACAAAACTTTTAGAGAATTTCTTCCCCTTCTCAGCTGCATATTATATATTCATGTATATCTAAGTCCATTTGAAATACAATGCTTAGTTTTCTGGATTGAGTTATATACTAACTTTAATAAAAAGCATAGCATAGCTGCATCATGCAAGATTCCAACTTACAATTTTTAAGGTTAAGATTGTAAATATGTTCTTTAGCCATTAGAAGATAATTAAAAATGAAATGCCTTGTAATATATGTCAGTTTAATTTCTTTAAAGGTAACTTTTAAATACATTCTCAATCATACTTCCCTATGAACTCCCCACAACGGTGCATTATCTGAAGCAGCATTTTTTTGTGTAAATATAAAAACTTTTTCCTATCACTACCTTTCAAAACCTTGGTGAGTTATCTTATGTTTGAGATACTTCTTTGCTTCACAGATACAACACTGGCTGGCTGGCTGTTTAAAAGAAACAACATAGCCGAACACACTCCAAATCAAACAGCCTTGGCGGATTGTTCAGCATTTGAAGGCTTGATCTTTTGTGCCGTCTACTGGACAATGGAAAAACTACAGTCTCTATGATTTAAACTTTTCTCTTGTCCAGTGTTGGGGGTGGGGAGTGGGTAGGAAGGGGGATGTGACTTGCTACTGGTAAATAATAAGAGAGGAAACGAGACCTAATTTAGACTCAGAGTACAGATCTTGTGACTTCAAATCTTCAAATCCAAGTTTAGGACATTATATTAACTGTAGGTATGCCTCAACCACTTGATTAAGGCACAAGGCTAAAACCTACATTTTACACAACTCTGTGTGTGTGTGTGTGTGTGTGTGTGTGTGTGTGTGTGTGTGTGTGTGTGTTGGCTTGGAAAGAGAAAGAAAGATGGTGGGACAAGCTTAGCATCTCTGAAAAAAAAATGCTGGTGGTTACTTGGCTCTGAGTGAGAATTGTCTTGACAGCCAAGTTACATGTATTTATTGCCTAGGTAATCCAGGATGTACAGGTTAATTCTTGGAATTTGGAACATGATATTGTTCAATAATCCAGAAGAGTACTTTCATGAGGGGAGAAATGAAATTGGTAATTAGAACAATGTTAGTGCAGTTACTTTTTGGCAATCTTGGATAAAAACGTGAAACTTCACTGTTTTCACTTGGAGACCACATGTGGGAAAAAGTGAGGGTGAAATTCACAGTCAGATGCTTTTATGTAGCAGAGGCTGTTTGATGTTCTCTTAAACATGTAAAAACATTGTATACATTTTGGTTACGATTTCAAAAATATTTATAGAGCTCTAGTATTATGGAAGCTTCATACAAAAAAATGCATGGAGCTAACTTTGACCTCTGACATTGACATAGTTTCTGAATAACCATAATTACCACATAGACATGATTTTGTGTAGGAAAAATATAAACAAAGTCCAATGCCAATGAAATATAGAGAAGTCAAGCTGATTTTGGTGGAAGAGCCATAGACTTGGGTACAAGGCTCTTAAAACAGTCCATCTGCTTTTCTGAAGTTAAAATTCCCTATTGGATTTTAATATAACCTAGTAGTACATGACTAGTTGTTAGGGTGCCTTTTAATAATAACCCAATAGTGAAAAGGAGTCAGCTTTAGGGCATTTTCTTGCTGCATAAATATATTTCAATGATCTACTTCAAATGATGTGGCACTGTGTCAGAATGACGTTAACATATTGTATTAAATATAGATATAGCAGAGAATTAGGGTTGATGCCGACTCCTTAAAGCAGGGAGATTGCTTATGTTGCAAAGTAAAATAAATAAATAAATAAAACAGGATGCTTCCAGTTGTGCTGCAGTGTGGCGGAGGGGGTGGTGGGAGTGGTGGACCATGTCTCCTTAACTTCAGCATAATCAACTGGACTGTGAAAGGTTATTTTACGAGATGCTGTTTGGATCCCTTGGTCCAGAATAAAGCTGCAACAACAGGGCTCTCCTAGGGATAGCTAGAAAATGTAGAAAATTCTTACGGGAACCAATTACCAGTACTCACACGCCTGATACATGCTTAGCGGACAGTGGAAGTACTGAGGGCTGGTGAAGGGTCTCTGGTCACCAAGTGCAAACATTTATCTTTGAAGCAACAGGGTGGGCCAGACTGGTCATGATAAACATTCATGTTCCACTAGATAAAGGGGCATATTTTGTGAAAACCTTCAGGCAAAAAAAAAAAATCGTACTGATTGTTCAAAATTAATATCTTAACATTTCATTGAGCTCTCTAATGAATGGGAAGAACATCCTAGGCCTCCAGCAGCTCAGAAAGCATCCTGGTAGCCTGAGACCCAGCGGAGGAACAGACCAGGAGCCGAAGGAGCCTGCTGAGTCGCTATTCACTTGGGGATATCTGAAAACATAGTGTTCCATGCCCTTATTTAAAAAGGAAAAATAAATATCATATTTCCATGTCTTTTTCAAACAATTACCGTCAGCCTGCGGTATACTTGCTAAAAATCATGATGTTTCCCCCCAGGCGACTTATGCAAGAAAGGGTCCCTTTGAAAACGTATAACTAATGGGAGAAGTCGACTCTGAACCGCAAACAAATCGGTTCGCACTGAGCCACAGCCTGAGTGGAGTGGCGCCCCTTCTTTCGCGCGTGGCCGGGAGAACTTCAGCGACTCGCTGATGGGATGCCGCTCCGGGGACTCTTGATGGGGCGCGATCTTTTCACAGCAGACCCTTCAGCTGCGCTGTCCTTGTCGCCCATGCATGTCGGGGTGCCAGGTCCTGCCTGCACCCCACCCCAGGCGCCGACTTCCCGGCCTGAAGGGGGTCCCGGCAGGATACACCACGGGGGTGGGGGGCGGGGCTCTGCTCTCACCTGGCTGGGCGGTGGGGGGTGGGGGTGGGGGGCGGGGGGGGGAGGGGGCGGGGGGGGGAGTTTGGTTTGGAGGAACGTGAACCTTCCTGGGGACCCCCGAAACGTCTGGAAAGAGCACATGATGAAAAGGCCTCTCTCCAGCCTGTGCCCCATCCCCCGCCCATTTTGACAACACCCTCTCTTCTCTTTGGGGTTCAGCATCGGGGGACGGAGTGGGTCGAGCCGGGACTGCGCGGGGTGGCAGCGCGGAGCACGGGGACCCGCTTAGCGGAGCGGGGCGCCATGGCTCAGGGACACCGGCCTGTCTTCAGCTTCTTGGGGCCGAGCACCCGAGGGCGCCTTTCTCCCATCTGGACTTGGGGACTCCGGCTCACCCCACTCGCCGCTGAGCCCAGTTCGGGAAGCTCCTCGCCTCCATTCCCGGCTGGCTCTGCCCCGGGGTGGCCCTGAGCCTGGGGTGCCGCCCATTCCCCGCTTCTCCTCCAGGCCCAGGTGTGCCCCGCCAGTGGGTTTGGGACGCGGGAGCCTTTGGGGACCCGGTCCCCGAATGCCCCCTCCGGCCGCGGCGGTCCCTGGTAAGGACTGGGACAAGCGCGCGTTTGTGGCCGAAGTTATTATTTCGGGTGCGCGGATGGGATCAGAAGCCGCGGGAGCCGCGCGTGGGGACCCGGGCGGTTCCTCTCCCGCGGGGATTGCAGCTGCCGCGGGTGGAAGGGCGCCCGCCCCGGCCTCTGCCCGCAGCGCCGCCCGCTCCCTCCGTGCGCCCCGCGCGCTCACACCCCGCCGGAGGCCCAGACCCCAGTGCTCAGCGCGGGGGGCGGCGGGCGACTGGGGGTGATGTGGAGAGAGAGGTTAGGTTGGGAGTGGGGAAGGAAAGGAGAGAGACACGGAGTGGCAGTGACAGAAACGGATAGAGGGAGGAGATGGCGAGTGGCAAAGTCGGGGACACCGGCCCAGAGGGAACCTGACCCAGCGCTGCGGGCCACCGGGACACAAGGGAGTCGCCTCCAAGGGAGTCGCCTCCGCTCAGGGCCTCACCAGGGAAGGGGCAGCGCCCGTTATTCCCGTTATTCCGATGCTGCTCTCTGCTTCCTGGGGAGCCTGGCTGTGGACTTTTGCATAATTGCATATTGACTTTCCTAACTAGTTCCGCAGAGCTATTTGTGCTTCCACACGTTCAATCAGGAACAATTCCCTTTGAAAGGAAAAGGGGAGAGAGAGAGAGAGAGAGAGAGAGAGAGAGAGAGAGAGAGAGAGAGAGAGAGAGAGAGAGAGAGAGAACACTAAGGCCAGAGGCAAACACTACCAACCTCTTTCCAAATGTCTCAGGCCATCCCCAGAAATGACCCTCCAGCCTGCGAAGTGCCAGTCACCAGCACAAATACGGCAAGGTGATTGCTCTGTCTTGTGCCCACTTTTCACAGCCCCTTCCCCACCTGGAGAAACAGAGAATGTTAGGGTTAGGTGAAGGCATTTAGTTCCACTTGCCCATTTCATAGATGAGCAAACTGAGACCCAGAGGTTAAGTAACCTATCCAATTTCTCCTCTCTTTTGTGCATGTCTCAACGTTCTCTTTTATTATATTCCATTTCTTTTTTTTTTTAATAAATCCTCACCAGAGAATATTTTTTCCATTGATTTTTAGGGAGAGTGGAGGAGAGAGAGAAAGACAGAAACATTGATGTGAGAGAAACACATCAATTGGTTGCCTCCTGCTGGAGCCCTGACCAGGCTTCTGGCCTGAGAAGGAGCCTGCAACCAAGGTAGGTGCCCTTGACCGGAATCGAACCCAGGACCCTTTGGCCCACAGGCCGACACTCTCCACTGAGCCAAACCCGCTAGGGCTATCTATTCCATTTCTTAAATGAAAAATATATATATATAAAAATAAAAAAGAAAGAAACCCCAAGCACAGAAGCAACCTTTTCTACCACATGTCTCCTGTTGGAAGCAGCTGTGTGTGAAGTTGATGCTCTTGTGAGAGTGTGGGGCTGGGTGGTGATTCCTCCCTCCTCCCCCTGCACCAACACTGATCCAACACTGAGCCCTTTAGGAGAGCAGCGGGCAGGGAGCCTGCTGACCTGTGGAAGACCTTCCACAGAGCAGGAAGAAGGGGCAAGGACAGATAGGATTTGGTGCTGGTGGTGCTAAGGTCTCCTAGGCGTTGCTTTTCTCCATTCAACCTCCATCCCCCAAACAAACAAATAAACAAACAACTCAAGCCTTTTGCATGACTTCCTGTGACTGAATGACCCTAAGCAGAAAGCTGGCCCAGGTCACCTCCAGGGCAAAAGCAAGGATGTTCAAGGCCTTATTTACCCCAGGACTAAAAACAACATCCCCTCTAATTCTGTCCCTCCTCAGCAGCTTGCCTTTTAAGGATGTGAGAAGGAGTTTCTTGGAGTCTAAACAGACATAATACCCCATCGGGATGTTTAGGTTTCAATTTTATCTTTGCTTCCCTGCGTCCCTCTGCAACCAAGACCCAGGCTTCGGAACCCTTGACGAAGACATCCTGTAACTTTGACGGGCAAAACACATTTTTGAGTAGCCACTTTTAATTCTGAAGTATTTTTATTTTTAGCTTCAAATTTTGCCTCTAAAATCAGTTATTTATTGCCCTCTTCTCCTCATTCCTTAATTACTTCTAGCCTTTCATTTGAAAGTTTTTTTCCCCTTTATTTTAGTCATGATTTGGGTGTTTCATACAGAAAACCTGCTTGTAGGCCTGCTATTTGCACTAATCTACACTTATTTTAGTTTTTGAAAACTTGGTGGAGTTTCCTGACTTTTTTTTTTTTTTAAACTTACTGAGTATTAGCAAAAATAAGCTAACACTCTTTGAGGTTTAAAACTTAGTAATGTGCTATGTCCTAGCCTAGTCTTTGTGATAAGCCCAGTGCATTTTTCTGATATACTTGTTGATTCACGTATCTTTCAATTGAAAATCTTTTGAGGAACACGGGCCTTTGTGACATTGCTCTGTAAGCTATTGTATTTGCAACTATTTAGTGATCGCAGGCTGAGACTGAAGAATGATTTGGAAGCTGTCTGTATTAGACAAAACTCTTTGCGGAGACCAATATTCCCAGCCAGGATTCTGGGTAGTGGTGGTGAGTGGTGGCAGAGCTGAGAGTGAGGACACTTGGGTTCACATTTTAACGAGGTCACTGAGGCACCTTTGAAAAGAGTAATCACCTGCAAGATGAAACGATGATATTAATTTGTTCTCTAAGTATCCTTTAGATCAGTGGTTCTCAACCTTCCTAATGCCGCGACCCTTTAATACAGTTCCTCATGTTGTGGTGACCCCCCAACCATAAAATTATTTTCATTGCTACTTCATAACTGTAATTTTGCTACTGTTATGAATCGTCATGTAAATATCTGATATGCAGGATGTATTTTCCTTGTTACAAATTGAACATAATTAAAGCATAGTGATTCATTACAAAAACAATATGTAATTATATATGTGTTTTCTGATGCGCTAAGGCGACCCCTGTGAAAGGGTCGTTCGACCCCCCGCAAGGGGGTCCCGACCCACAGGTTGAGAACCGCTGCTTTAGATTCTTGTAGTTAGTAATTCTGTTATAAAATTAGACAGAAAATGTGTAGCTTCCTAATGAACAAAAATATTTACTGCTAGGACATCACAATAATACCTATTTCAGAGTAAATATTAAAGAAGTTGATATTTTGGAGTTGGATTGGAGAAGGCAGTGCTAAAGCAATGTTTCTCTGCCTGGACTTGAGCTATTTACATCCAGCCTTAGGGTTTTTGCCTGATCTTAATGTCCTCTGAGTTGCTATTTCCTTGTTCCTTATAACAAAACACAACACAACCCTCACCCAAGATAAAACATAAATGTATTTTAAAGTGAAACTTTGTTACAGGATTTCTTTTGTAATTTTTCTAATGCAAACTACAACAAATGCACTAAGACATTTTAAGCAGTTTGCTTGGGTGTAAGCTCCTAAATCATCTTGGCCTCGTTTTGGGAAGCAAAGACTAAGGACATCTTTATCTGTTCAATATGCCATGTTCTAAACGGGTTCTACTTTTTTAAAAAAATTTTTATTGATTAAGTTATTACATATGTGTACTTATCCCCACGTCACCCCCCATCCCCGCCCCCAGGCCCTCGGGTTCTACTTTTAAAAGGCAATCAGAAGAGAAAGGAGTGAACACTCATGATTAGGAAAAAAGCAACACACTCTAGGAAGAAATCGACACTAACATCGGACAAGTCTGCTTTGGTGTTTACAGTGGGATTGTATCTTGTACTCCTGACTGCAAACCTGTTGACATTAGGGAGCTATATAAAGCCTTCACCTTACAAGACAGC